AAGTAACATGAAATAGGATATTCCTGTTTCTATAAAATTGTCTGTTGAAATAAATGTTATGTAAGGCGTCTTCTTAAAGCCACCCCGGGCCTGTGAGGCTGCCAGTGAGGTTCTGTTTCTCATTGCGTTTTCCCCATGTTTATTTCCAGGATGACTAAAAGGCCCCAGCAGGGCGGCAGTGGGAAATGAGGAGCAGCTCTTTGAAGGGGTGGCGTTGCCAGCTGCTGCTGCTGAGTCACAGATCCCGCCACCACGACCGGTCCTGTGAAGGAAAATAGGCTGAATGCTATTTTTATTAACCAGACTCTTTTTATAGAACTAGCAGAGAGTCTTTAACCCAGCTCTCTGCTGCCTTACAAATATGGAATATTATATTTCTCTTCATAAAGGGTAGCTGAAAATATGCAATCAATTTAATAATTCCCCATGATGGTTTTATCTGCAGTAATATGTATATTATCTATTAGAATTTACTTAATGAAAAACAGAAGAGAACGAAATTTGTAACTATTAGCATTTAAGTACTCAGAATTCTTGACTTTTTCTTTAATGACCATGAGACAACCAACAGCTGGCCACATAATTAAAATCTCATTGCCAGTGTTTGAAAAAGTATCTGTATTTCCATGCAGTGTGTTTATTGAAATGCTGTCATTTAATGGCAATAAATGATTTAGATATTTGTCAAATAAGTCTGACTGAATCTTAGTTAAGAAACTATAGAACTATATCCCTAAAAAGAGAATTATAGGTTAAAAAATGGAACTCCTTGAAAGTTGTTAAGTTGGCCGAGGGAAATGACGAGCTGGAAGGCCAGTTTCTGGAAAGCATTGGCAGTCCCAGCTCCTTGGAACGCGTTCTCTTCTGCGCAAACATTCGGAAATGCACCTGACAAAAACCCCAGGGTGACCGACTTCAGGCAAGCCGCCCAAGTGTTCTGGACTTCGGTTTCCTCTGAAGTATGTAGTCTCTGAAGTAGGTGATCTAAGAACTGTGCTGTTTTCCAGAGAAAACTGTGGAGCTCGCGCTCCCACAGGATGTGCTGATGGCCTGGCCGCCGGCGCTGCGCCGGGCACCCGGGGAACGATGCAGCCCGTGGCCCGGGAGCTGCTCCCGGAGGAAGCGTCCTGAGAACGCAGTGCTGATTTCTTAGTTCACGTTGTGCACTTAAGGTAGGAGTTTAAAGACTTCACAGTGAATAGGGGCACGATTCCGTCTTCTCTGTGTTGGTCGTGGATGAGAGCGGCAGAGGCAACGCCGACCTCCTCTCAGCCAGCCTGTTCCCGCTGACTAGTTTCTCTTCTGTCACTTTTTCTTTTTCCCGTAAAGGTACTAGACAGCTTACAAAGCATTTTCGTAATGTTCCCTCTTTGGAGCCGCACACAGCCCCGGGAGGCCAGCAGGACTGGGGCTGCTTCCATTTTATACGTGAGGGAACCTGGGCGAGAAGCTGGGAAACGCCCGGTTCCTGGCAGGGCTGGGGCGCCACACCTGCCCCAGGCCTCTTCCTGCCTCCTGGCATCCGGGCCCCGGCAGGTGACAGCTGGGAACAGTGCCCGTCTTCGGCTGGCTCGGGCTCGTTCCTCCAGTTAGCCGGACTTGAGGTTGGGTAAGAGGAACTAGCGTTAAGCACCTAGATGAGTTTAATTAAGCTGAAACAGTGTGTTCTACTTTACTTATCATACGGGTAATGTTACTGGTAGAAGATTCCAACTGTCCAGAGGCATACAAAGTAACAGCTGAAGCTTGCTGTCTTTGCTCTTGTCCCGGCTCTCCAGAGTCAGACACTCAGCTTCTGTGCTTTGGGCTCTTCCTTGTGTCACCTTGGAAGAATTCTCATCCTACCCGTCTTAGTGCCAAGTGAGGAGCAAGGGCATTTTCTCTCCCTCCATCAGAAGGGTTTGTTAGCTCCCTGAAGAGGCGGCCTGTAGGTGTCAGCCCCACTGGAAACCTGAGGAGCCCCGGACCCAGCGCAGATGAGGCAGAGAGGAGAGCAGGAAAGGCCCCTGATAGAATGGGGTCAGCAGGCTGGTTCAGTGAGCTGTTCCCATGCACCTGATAAGAAAATACAGAGAGAGTGAGGCCAGCGAGGTCGTTTCTGCTTTCCAAAAGCTTCCTGTGATGTGAGAGAGAAACCTGGAATGAGCACAGACCAACACCTGCAAGGAAAGTATGCGCAAAACAGCGTTGCGCGAGGCAGGAGTTGGGCCGAGCGTCCGAGGGAGCAGTGAGATTGACTGTCCCAGATCAGAGAGACGAAGGAGCCAAACAGGAGGCTGACCTTGCTCCTGGCTGCCTCCAGGTCTCAGCAGGCTCCCACCAGTCCCACTTTCTCTCTGCACGGAGCCCCCAGTGCTGGCGGGGACAAAGGCAGGGACACAGAAGGAAGAGTAGCAGCGGGACAGGGTGTGAAATGTCCAGCTAGGATCTGAGTCCTAATTTCTTTTTTTATTTCTTGAGGAAGATTAGCCCTGAGCTAATATCTGCTGCCAGTCCTCCCCTTTTTGCTGAGGAAGACTGGCCCTGAGCTAACATCCATGCCCATCTTCCTCTACTTTATATGCGGGACGCCTGCCACAGCATGGCATGCCAACCAATGCCATGTCCACACCCAGGATCCGAACCGGCAAACCCTGGTCTGCCAAAGCGGACTGTGCGAACTTAACCACTGCGCCACTGGGATGGCTCCTGAGTTCTAATTTCATATAGCATCCACACCAAGATAAAAATCTATTCCACAGCAAGATTTCCTTTGTTTTTTTAAAAGTTCTTGGTTGCTTTAAAATCGCCATATCCAATGTCTATCATTAGCAACAAGGACGCTTGGGCCAGCTGGGCATTCAGGGTATAAGTGATAGCCTTCTCTAAAGAAGAATGACCAGCTGTTAGACTTCCTTCTCACTGATCAGGAGGCGGCAGCCGTCCCGGCAGCATGGACTCCTAGCCCTGGGCGAGCCCTCCCTGCTCTTTTATCCTGGGCATTTGCCGAGCGAGCTTTGTCTCCTAGAGATGTTGGAAGCGTGTTACACAGAATGTGGTAGGTGTTGGGTCTGCACTAAGAGCAGTGTGTGTGGTAGTGTTCCATCAGATCTGGTGCCTTCAGAGTGGTCGGTATGGTTAGGGTTCTGGTATGTGTTAGCAGCAGACCCTGCTGGCCCCGTGAACATGCTGACCGTGAAAGGGTCAGCATCTCAAGGAATGATGGTTGGTCACTAAAACATGAAACACCGAAATTGGGTTGATGAAAACTTGATTACGTCGAAAGCCCAGTGATATGTATTCAAAATGTTCGATTCCCACGTACAACATCCTCTCTAAAAATAATACTCAAGGGCTCCAAATAGTTCTCATTTCAAATAATAAAACACAGAGTTCGAAGACACAAATGCGTTGTGACCATCTTCCAAGATGAAGTGACACTGTCATTACAAACGTGCCTTGATGGTTTCAGCCACAGAGGCATTTCCTTTGTTATGATAAATTCACGGGGCAGGGGTGACAATTGAGAAGTACTGCACAACCCAAACCTCCTGCTCAGGCAGCGTGTGGGCTGGCTCTCGAGGTGCAGCTGCCTGGGGGCACGACTTGCCAGTGGAGGAGACAGTTGAGAGGTCGATGGCCTTGTTTCCTCCTCTGCCACAGTTGGCTGCGAACCACCTGCCCCCTCCCCTTCTGGTCCCGGCTCCACACAGCCCTCAGGCATTCTGGACCTCAGCTGGGTTCAGTTACTCGTCTGCTTCCATCTTCATCTTGGTCCCGCGCATACTTTCTCAGACTCATTTGTACGGAGCATTTACAGACCCAGAGAAAGTCAGCACGAGTGGTGACTTCTGATGCCAGACCTTACCCCAGATTGCTCAGGAGTCATTTGATTGTCTCAAAAATGACTTCCGTTCTAAGATCTAGAAGAGAAACGAATGTCAAGACCGTGTCATCCTCAAAAGCAAAGCCCGAGTTACCTGGGGCTGTAGGCCTAGGCAGGTGAGTGGCCTCCAGGAGGGTGAGGGCTGGACCGCAGAGAGCTGTGGAGAGAGGTGCCGTCCCCATCGGACATCCCAGTCCTCACCCTCTGACAGGGCAGCTGTGGGGAACGGTCCTAACCAAGTGGGCCCACAGGGCTCCTGGGTTTTGTTGTTTTCGGTGCATGTAACAGTAAGCACAGAAAAGTTGCTTGGGGATTAGCTGCACCCTGACACCTTTGTTACAAAAGCTAGTCGCAGGTCAGGACCTGCTTCACCTACAGGCGTCTTAAGCAAACATTCATTAGCCAGCAGGCCCAGAACCCCGCTGGTCACCTGTATTCCTGATGGGCTTCAGCCCTGATTGCTTTCAGGTGCTTCAAAAGGCCCGTCGGAGGCAGAGGCCACATTTCAGCCCCACTGATAACTCCCACCGAAACACAATTCCATTATGGTGGCTGCATGGTGGTTTCCTGTTTCTAGTTATCAGGTAGCCTGCTACAAGCTAGTTTACTCCATTAACTGAGACTGGTCACTCACACCAAACATGGTCCCTACTGAGAAGGCAGGATGAATGCTCAACTTTTTCCTTTTCTTCCCAATTGTATAAGTAAGGAACTGATTGAATAGCTATTCCAGTTGTAACAAATTATTTTGAATTTTTTTTACTATTTCTCTTTTGATCATTAATTTTCATAGATTGAATGTGTTTTTATCAACTCCAGTTATTATTTTTGTTTTGGGGTTTGTTTGTTTTTTTTTAACTCCTCATTTCCCCGTCCCCCTGGCCCCTAGCTAGACAAAATATTTCTAATCACGTTGACTGGTGGCATGAAAAAGTGAGGAAGTGAAATATATATTTGCCAATACTAGAATAATTAAGTGAATATGACCAATTTTTTCAATGAGCATTATTTGATAAACATTATTTCATCCTGTTTATGTGAAAATTTAAACAGAGATACATACATAGAAGGAGAGAGAGGGCAATAGGACTAGAAACGTGTTTACTGAACTGTTAACATTGTTTTGGGTAGTGGGTTTTAAGGTGATTTTTATGTTTTTTTTGTAAGCTCGCGTTTATTTTTTTCAAAGTAAGCAGATATGAGTTTTACAGCTGGAATAAACTTATTTTTAAAAGAAAAACAATCTTATCGTGCATTTTTCACTTTTTTAGACATTGGGAGAGTATTAACCAAAAGAAACAATGTTTGCAATGGCTCCCTGTCTCCTACAGGATGGGGAGTGAAATGTTAGTGGAGAGTGAAAGCTACATCCACGGAAAATGGACATTAACTTGTTCTCAGTTGTGTGATTGATGATTATAAATTTAATCAGAGTTTAGAGACAAGAAAATCAGTGTGAAGTGGAGTCCTGGAACAGGGGTTCATGCAGAAGATGGGGCTTTATGTTGGGACCCTTGATCTTGTGACCCAGTGTGAACACGTAGAGGTTAAAGGTAAGTATCAGGATTTGTGAAAGATTTAATTTTGGGTCAAGCTTTAAGTAAATGATAAATTTTGTTTTATCATTTTTACTGAGGTATAATTGACATATAACATGAGATTTCAGGGGTACAACATAATGATTTGAAGTTTGTCTATATTGCGAAGCAATCACCACAACACCACAATAAGTTTAGATAACATCCATCACCATATGTAGTTACAAAAATGGTTTTTCTTGTGACAAGGACTTTTTGGAAGGACTCTAACAACTTTCAAATATGCAATAAAGTATTAGTAACTGCAGTCACCATGCTGTGCATTCCATCCCAGTTCTTACTTTATAACTGGAAGGTTGTACCTTTTGACCTCTTCACCCATTATCATTCTTGTTGGCTCAGATGGCATTCCTTTGGGCAATAGAAGCCCCTCTAAAGGTGCCTTCTGCTACGACCCCACTCATCTTTGAGAGTTTCCGTGTGTTCTGGCACAAGATGCCTCCCACCCGCACTACCTTCCTGCCCCCAACAGGGGACGTCTCCCAGAGAGCTCTGGCTCCATGTGGAAGGAGTGGTGTTTGTACCCAACATACAAGCTCTTGGCAGATCTTGCTGCTAGAGGGACGTCACTTCTTGGCCATTTCAGTGCATGGTACTAAAAAGGATTTTTTAAATCATGAGTTCATGTTGATATTTCCACTTGAATTCTAGTATAGTATTCCAGTTAATTTTTTTTCTTTTCATAATTGAACCTTTGTATACTAAATAGCATTATTTCTAACAACACAAACATTTCATTGCTTTCTTTACCCAACTATAAAAGAAAAATAGTCTCCCAGTCATACTATTATTATCATAAATAATGAAACTACTGAATAAAAGCTCTAAATTTTCCCTCATGTGTCCTGAGACTGCACGTCCTGAGTAAGTTTGAAGTAATAGTTCTAAATTCACTTAAGATAACCTTTGACTGTATGTTGCGTAAGCACTTACCCAACGTAGAGTTTGCTGCAATCGTTCACATCCATTTTAGCATGAAGGCTTTTGCATCCATCAACTCATAGTTGTGAGAAGGCGGTAGCTTTTGGCTAGAACTCTTAGTACAGGAGGTGGAAGGTCAGTCTGCCAAGGCGCTCTGAGGTCACACAGCCATCTGAACGATTCGCTCTCCACCAGTGCTTTCAATTCTAGTCTGACTACACTGGAAACAAAAATCTGCCTTTTACTGTTTAATTTCCAGTACTGTTACAACCAACATAATTTAACTTTCTAATCTTGTCCTAACGTGAAAGTTTCATCTTTGCCTTTTTGAGTTATGACTTTTCTCTTTAAATAAAAATAATGATATCCAGTCTTTCTACATACACACTGTGTTTTCACACCAAGGCTTCCATGGCATCAATTCAAATAATTCAGTTAACAGTCCCTTGACTTTGTGTGAGTCGGTGTTTACTTTTCCCCTGGGGGAGAGTGTAAGGAGAGCTATGGAATCTCCAGATCCCACAGGATGAGCACAGGTGATGTATGTAAAGAGAGCTCTTTAGGGTTGTGTCAGAAATCTATTCACTCAGAAGTCAAACTAAAGGCAACTTTGCTTTATTTGTGTATTTTCCAGCACAATTAAATACCCTTCAAGTCGTTCACCCACCTCAAACCATTTAGTAACTATAGTTATTTACTCAAAAGAACAAACAAAAAAAAAGAGTCGTGCATGACCAGATTTGTGGAGTTTGGAAGAGCAGCACCACGTTTGGCATGGTTTTTGCCAAAAGTTAGGGTGAAGTTCAACTCGGGACAGCTCGAAGGCTGATGCGTGCGCCATTGCAACATCTCTGCTTCTGGCCGAGAGAGAAATAAGAGCACAGAGCAGAACACGCTTCAGACAGGCTCCAGGAGCGTGGCCCGGGCGTGCCGCTGTCCCTTCCTCTCTCTGAGTCCAATGCGCTTCCCATTTAACACGGAACAGAGAGCACTACACACACTGTAATAGACGGATCAGCAGATCCAGTCTTTTCAATTTTGCTTGTGGTTTAAATTCAACCACATTCCACTTTCTTCTAAAAGCCTTTCTAATTTCAGAATTATAATTACTTCCTGATTCTTTCAAAAGTTGCAACTTAGAGCAAAGAGTAGGTCTTTAAAAACAATTGGGGTACATAAGCCAGTTGAGGGGTGGGGAACAAATCTTCGCAGTTACTTTTTCTAGACAGCTGCCTTGAAAGCTCTCCAGATCCATGAGATAGCATCTCAGTCGAACAGGTGAACTTACGATGTTTTAAAAATAGTCTAAAAAATCCTGGAACATGTGAGGGAGAACTCTGCAGCTTTTATTTGAAAGTCTTCCTTTTCATTGAGAAAACAGAATTACAGCAGCCCTCTTAGAGGCGTGTACGTTTTCAGTTTCGGATCAGCTGTTTTAGGTCGTATAACATCTTGAGTATATCTGGGGCCTTCTGCCCTCAGGCAGTTCTGAAGATGTTTGCTTTTCTCTCCTCTGTTAGACTGTAGGCTCCTTGGGGTCCCTGCGGGAACTTCTGTCACCATCCCAGCTCATAATATCTTAAACAGCCCCCATATATTTTAGGAAGTTCTCAAACTTCCTGTTTATCGGCTGTCTCGAAACCCGAAACCCGCCTCCCAAGCAGCCAGAAGCAGGGCGGGGCCTCCCTCTGTGCCAATCAAGCACTCTCATTTGGAAGTGAGAGTCACAAGAAAGCAGGCTCTCTGCAGAACATCCACTTCACTAGTCTACATGCAGCTTTCGCCACTGAGATTGGCCTCGGTTCTGGCAGCAGAAGCCCAGGCATTAATCTGGTGGTGGCAGCAGTGACAGCAGCGTTCTCATCTGTCCAGTCCCACTGCACGGTTTGGGTCTTGGTCCTGGCAGCATAGTCTCAAAGCCTGTTCCCAGTCCGCACGATTCTGTGAGTGACCTCACAGCCTTTAGTAAATCCCTTTTGTGCTTAAACCAGTCATTGTAGATTCTGTTTGCAATTAAGGGCTCTAACCAACCTCAGACAAGGAGCATGACCTCTTAGTCTGCATGTCCGCAATTCCTGATGAGGGTCAGTAGAGGTCATGTGCACCTGAAAATATCTTTTACAATTGTTACAATGCGATGTCTTCTTAGGCAAGACCAGAGTGTTGGGTTCCCGACTTTGCAGGCCCAGAGACTTTCATCAGTGCCCAAGTTTCTGCGAGCGCTCAAAAATCCAAATGTACTAGAGACGGAGGTATAAGACAGAAGGACTTCTTAAAATTTGCAATAATAAATATAAATCTTGGGGGCCAGCCCCATGGCTGAGTGGTTAAGTTTGCGTGCTCTGCTTCAGCAGCCCAGGGTTTTGCTGGTTCGGATCCTGGGCACAGACCTAGCACCACTTGTCAGGCCATGCTAAGGCGGCATCCCACATAACTCAACTAGAAGGATCTACAACTAGAATATACAACTATGTACTGCAGGGCTTCGGGGAGAAGAAGCAAAAAAAAAAGAGATTGGCAACAGATGTTAGCTCAGATGACAATCTTTAAATAAATAAATATAAATCTCAAATGGACTGAAACAGCTCATGTTGTCAGGATAAGTGACTCTCTACATTTGACTACAATTAAAGAGTCTGGGAGTCAATTTAGAGCAGGAATCACTGGAACATAGATGAATGGAAGGAAGGACGAGGGGAGAGAGATTGAGAAAGAAAAGGAAAAGAAAAGAAGTGGTTCAAATGGAAAGAATTCATGGAAGGCCAAGCAGGGGACAACAGAAAACTCACGCCTAGAAGTATTATACCAAAACCTAAGAATATCGAAAGCAGAAAGTTCTAAAAGCTTCCAAAGGGAAAGAATTAATCATCTATAAGTAGGGTGACAAAACAACCTATCAATAAGTAGACCGTATGTCTTAGTTTACCCAGGACGGTCCTGGGTCACACCTACTGTCCAAGCTTAGTTATTGGTAGTGTCTCCTTCACTCTCAAAAGTGTCCTGGTTGGATGATAAATTATATTTTCACCCTTCCTACAAAGGAATAAGAGGCGAATTGATGGAGGGCTTCTCAATAGCAAAACAGTACAAGAGGATAATAGTGTGATGTTTTTAAAGTATTAAAAGAAAAGAACTTTGAATGTTAAAATTTTATCCAAATTTTCATTCAGATGTGAGAGTATGAAATAAACATTTTCGGTCACATAAATCCTCAAAAATTTTGCCATATGTTGAAAATGCTCTTGAAGGAAGGGTTCAGATGAGAAAAGAAACAGATCCAGGAGATTGTTAGAGGAGACATGGAATAAATAGTGATCAAATACCTAGGTAAAGTCTATTATATGACAAAACAGGAAATAGAGTGTATCCAGAATAGCCAAGAAGTACAATAGCTACACTATGGGAGTTGAGAGAAGACGGAGACCAAGGGACGTGATCATGTGCAAAAATCTTGAATTGTGAAGGGTACAATATAGATATTGCTAAGCTTACTACTAAGGGCAAATATGCATCATGACAGGCTTTAAGAGTAACCACTGTGAGGACAAAAATAAAATGTTTAGCTTTTAAATGGGCAGAATACCCAAAATGACCAAAAGAAAGCAGGAAAAGACAATAAAATAAATAAAAAGAAAGTTCAATAAAAGCAAAATATGAAATAAGACAGCAAAAACAAATCCTAATATATAGCCATTATAATAATTGTAAATGGATAAAACTTAAAAATATAAAGACTCTCAGACTGAATATAAAGTAATATCCAATGATATGATATCTAGAAGAGGCATGATTCAAACAGAAAGACCCAGAAAGACTGAAAATAAAGGATGGCAGAAATACAAATAAAATGTTAGCAAGTAGAATTCAGCATCACATTAAGAAAATAATTCACCATGACCAAGTGGGATTTATTCTGGGAATGCAAACTTGTTTCAATATTTGACAATACATTAATATCATATACATATGTACAGATCCAGGAAAACATCATATAATTATCCCCATAGATGCTGTAGAAGCCTTGGGCAAAATCAAAATGCATTCCTGATAAAAATTTCTCAATTTGGTAAAGCTAGCATCTTACTAAATAGAGCAACATAAGAGGCATTTTCACTAAGATCAAGAACAGGGTAATGATGCCCAGTATTTCCTTGACTGTTCAACACTGTATAAAAGCATTAGCCAATGCAATTAATTAGATAAAAAAAGTCAATTACAGACATAAGAATTGGTAAGGAAGAAGTAAAAACTATCTCTTTGCATATTATAGAAAAGTATACTAGGAAAACCCTAGAAAATCAATGATAAAACTAACTCCAACAATAAAAGAATTCGATATGGTAGCAGGATATAAAACTTACTTACAGAAATCAAGAGTCTTCATATACACAAACATTAACCAATCGGAGGACATGACAGTAAACAAAATCCTATTTACAATGGGAACAAAGAGAGAAAATCGTTAGGAAGAAGCATGACATGAAATACGCAAAACCCAAATGAGGAAAACTTTAAATTATTCCTAAAAGACAAAAAAATAAATTTGAACAAATGGAAAGAACTCCCCCCCGACCCTCCGTTCTTGGACAGGATGATTCAGCATTATAAAGATGTCAGTTCTCCCTAGATTAACTTAGGAATGCAATAAAATCCCAATAAAAAGATCAGTTAGCTTTTTTTTAAATGGAGTTAGACAAGTTACTATTAAAGTGTATACATAATAATAAACATACAATTATAGGTAGAATACAGATGAAGAGACTGGATACAAAGAGGTAGACAGCTTCTCTGACAGCAGTCACTAAGCAAGGAGGGTCAGAGTTTGAACGCAGCTCTTTAAGACCAGAACACACCACCTCACCACTAAGCAATGCTGTCAATCTCAGTTCCCAGTAATCGTGGAACGTTCGCCTAAGACTACAAGTTCTGAAATGTTAATTGCCCATAGTCATGCTAGCCAAGATGTTTGCCTCATTTTACCTGGTCTCAGCTCAAGTTTCATAAGAACAGTGCAGGCACTTGTCATCCAGCTGCAGTTTTCCTAACTGGAACTCGGAGAACACACAACCAGTCAGGGAATATAATTTTCACCATGTGGAAGCAAGATAACCAGTATGAGAAGAAGTCCTCCCAGAATGCCCAGGGCACAGAGCTGCTCCCCCAAGTGTAGGTCCTGACTGTCTGCTCTTTCTCCTCTTACATCAGCACTTGTGGTTTGGTCTACAGACAGAACAGCAAGGTCTAGACCACGAGTAATAATGGAGACGGCGCCTCCTGAATATGAGTTACGAAAGAGAGCGAGACAGAGCGGGAGAGAGAGCGAGAGGAAGAGAGAAAGGAAGGAAGGGAGGGAGGAAGGAAGGAAGGCAAGAAAGCAGGGAAAGAAGAAAGAAAAAGAAAGAGAAAGACAGAAAGACAGACAGGAAGGAAGGGAAGAAAGGAGGAAAGGAAGGAAGGAAGAAGGAAGGAAGGAAGGGGGAGGGAAGGAGGGAGGGAAAAAAAGAAAGAATGAAAGAAAGAAAGAAAGAAAGAAAGAAAAGACAAGGAAAGAAAGAGAAGACAGAAAGAAGAAAGAAAGAAAAGACAGAAGGAAAGACAGAAAGAAAGAAAAAGAAAGAAACAAAGAAAAAGAAAGAGAGAAAGAGAAAGAAAAAGAAAAAAGGAAGGAGGGAAAGAAGAAAGGAAGGAAGGGAAGGAGGGAAGCAAAGAAAGAATAAGAAAGAGAGAAAAAGAAATTTGTCAGTTTGTTGTCATCAGTTTTCGCAACCAATTAAATATTTTGAGTTTGCAATAAAATACACTTCTATCAAGGAAATCTATGCCCTTGTCCCGTCTGCGGGATAACTTTGGTTTTCCCGTTTGAAAGTTCAGCTCTCTTGGGGACACACTCATGGGTTGTGCTGGAAGAGACTGCACCGTGGACCTGCAAGGAGCAAGCTGCACCTCAGCAAGAACCTGGAAACTTGAAAACATCTGCTCCTCCTCCAGAATCCCGGTACCGAGAGGCCAATCCGTTTTCACCGTCATTTGCCCTGTCCCCAGGTTGAGGCTATTTTGTGGCGAAACCACGCCATCTTGTGGCTTCACAAGATTCCAAAGCTGAGGTCAAGGATGATATATTGTGATACGTGTTCAGCTAATATTTGTGGTAAGGAATATAACAACATTTTTCAAAACACATACATCCTCCTTATCAGAATATCCCTTTTATCTACTAACACAGACATGAAAACCGTCACCACCACAGATACCGTGGGAACATTTTTCTTCATTTGCGTAACATTGCAGTTGTTTCCCCCTCAAGTACTCATGAAAGGGATATAGTAAATGGATCAGGAGAAATAAGTAATGAGAATGCTGAGTTCCTTTTGCTTTTAAACAAGCAACATCCAAAATTTGTTAGTAGCTGGTTCATTACTTTAAAGCATTGGTCTCGAACAGTTCCCTTGTTTTCACAGACTAGCACATGAGTTTCACGAAAGCCTCAAATGGGCATTAATAGAGTGACTGGCAGCTCTACTCACAGTACGGCTGTGACCACAGCAGGGATTTCATGGCTGACAACGCCAGCAGTTGTCAGAAAGATAAAGCAAAGAGCAGAGTCCTGTCCTCATGGTACCAGGCTCTCTCTGCCATCTCTGGGGAGACAGGACTGGAGAAAGGCATTTTCTCCCCTCTTGGGGTTCAAGGTGTAAAAATTTCTCTCCTGGAAAGATATAACACCCAACAGATAATCATTAAAAAATCACCTTTGGGGGCCAGCCCCTTGGCGTAGTTGTTAAGTTCGGCACGCTCCTCTTCTGCAGCCTGGGTTCACGGGTCCGGATCCCATGCATGGACCTACACCACTCATCAGTCATGCTGTGGAGGCGACCCACACATAGAGTGGAGGAAGACGGGCACAGATATTAGCTCAGGGCGAATCTTCCTCAGGAAAAAAAAAAATCACCTTTGTGTCTTTCTTTGGAATGACACATATGAGCAAAATTTACAAGCAGGATGTTTTCTACAACAGTGGATCCTTGGGGAAAATATTTCACTCACCCTTCACTCAGTGGTTTACACGGCTCAGCAAATGAGAAGAGAATCTGAATGTCAAGGCAAATTGGGCATCGTGGACATTTTTTGACTGCACACAGCAAAGACTCCAGACCTTGTGTTCAGTGATGGACTGATAGCCATGAGGACCACTGGTAGAAGAAATGCCTGGCTTGTTTTGGCCATTTGAGTACTTAGTTATATCTCACTGGCCCCTGAAAGGAGAGCTACAGAAATATGGAGGCACCGTGTGCCTGACTTAAGCCCTGCCACCCTTGCTTCTCTTAGACAAGGAGCAGTTGCCCACAGCAGGACTTGTGCCCCGCTGTGCTGTTTCTCTCACCCTCTGCTCGCACTCCCTCTCCTTTGCTCCACTGCAGGGCCTGACCCAGCGTCTCTTCTGCCCCACACTCTTCCGGGGGGATTTCCTGCACCAACAGATGCCTCCCAAATTTCCATCTCCAATCCATCTGCACCCAGATCTCTCACAACCACCACAAACCCCTCCTTCCTGCTCCCCAGTGCACCGTGGTGCTCTGTGCATATCCTGGGAGCCTCCCAGGACCCCACCCCTGTCCCACTCTCTGCACTCAGTCAAGGCCTGTAGATCCCACTTGTAGAATCTCCTGACTGTTCATTTCTGCCCATCTCCATGCCATCCTAGTCCAAGCCACCATGACCCTCCTCTCGTCTTCCACACAGACCCCCAACAGATCCCAGCACAGCCACGCCTGCCCTCGGAGACCCCAATCCCAAGCATGCGTGAGTGAGCTTTCTAAATTGCAAACTGGATGTGTCACTTTCACATTCGATGTGACATGGATTCAATGGCTCCCCATCTTTCAGAGGCTACAACCCAAAATCCTTAACATGCATGATACGGACTGAACATTTGCATCCTCCCCCCCCCGAATTTATATGTTGAAATCCTAGTCCCCAGTGCGACAGCATTGGGAGGGGGCCTTTGGAGATAATGAGGGTTAGATTAGGTTATGAGAGTGGGGCCCTCATGATGGAATTAACACCTTTATAAAAAGAAAAGAGACCAGAGCTTCCTCTTTCTCCATCACATGAGGACACAGCGAGAAGGCAGCCGTCTGCAAACCAGGAAGTGGGCCTTCACCAAGAACGGAATCAGCCAGCACCCTGATCCTGGACTTCCAGCCTCCAGAACTGGGGATTTAAATTTCTGGGGTTTAAACTGCCCAGTTTGTGGTATTTTGGTATGATAGCTCAAACTGACTAAGATTGTGGTCTGCAGGGCGTCCCCCATCAGCCCATTCCAACCTCCCCTAACTCACTTCTCCCTCTTGTGCTCCCCATACCAGCCAAAACAACCACACTCACAGCTTTCTTTTCATGGCAAATGCTAAGTTCCTTCCCACCTCTGGGCCTTTGCACGAGCCATTCCCTCTTCCAGGAGCCCCCTCCCCATTGTCTATACCCACTCATTCCTGACTCTCCTCCACTCTGAGACCAGCACAGCTCCTGTGCACAGCTCCTGCAGAAACCTGCACATCCTTCCATAGCTGTGCTCACAAATACAATGAACTCAGTCGTGTATAACGATTATTTTTAAATTAATATAACGATTATTTTTAAATTAATAGCTTTTTTTGAGCAGTTTCAGGTCTACTGAAAAATGAAGAGAAAGTACAGAGCTCACAAATATCCCCTCCCCACACCCAGTTTCCTCTATTATTAACATCTTGTATTAGCGCGGTGCATTTGGTACAACTGATGAGCCAACTGATGCAGTGTTGTTGACTAAAGTCCCTCGTTTACATGAGGGTCCACTCTCTGTGCTGTACATTCTGTGGGTTTTGACAAAAGTGTGATGACATGAATCCACCACCACCATGTTATACAGAACAGTTTCACTGCCCTAAAAATCCCCATTTTCCATGTATGCATCCCTGCCTCCCCAACCCCTGGCAACCACTCATCTTTTTACCCTCTCCACAGTTTTGCCTTTTCCATGGTGTGAAATAATTGGAATCATACAGTGTGTAGCCTTTTCAGGTTGGCTTCTTTCACTTAGCAAATACACATTTAAGGTCCCTCCATGTCTTTTCACAGCTTGCTAGCTCATTTCTTTTTAGCACTGTCTAATATTCCATTGTCTGGCAGTAGCACAGTTTGTTGATCCATTATAATGATTTTGTAGACTCCTCTTGTTATAGAACACAAACACAGGTCCGTTACGCAATGTGCCGGAGGACCAATTAAGCGAAACACCAGGCTCGTGGCAAAGAAAGAGGTCTATTATCAAGAGGCTGCCAGATGAGGAGATGGGAGTTAAAATTCAAATCCACCTCCTCAAAGGGAAAAAGGTAGGGCTTTTGATCAGGGGTTTTAGTACGGGAAGGGGAGCATGTAGCCTCCCTGGCTAGTGTCTTCAGCCTGTGTTTGGTCTTGAAGATTGAATCTCTTTTTTTCTTTGACCATCTGGACTTTTCCACTTAGTTTTCATCCTTGGCCTGCGTTTGGCCTTGTGAGGCTAAATCTCTTTTTTCTTCTTGACGTCTGGTCCTTAACTTCCAGGGAAAAACAGCTCACTCCTATACTAATGAGGGACAGAGAGACCTGGTTTGTTTTAAACAACAGTTGATGATGCTGAGTATGCACAGCTGCAGTTTGCAAAGCTTATCTCAAATTCCTTTCTTCTCCTCTTCTAGCCCAGGGAAGATGTTTAACTCCTTCATTCTTGGTTTCACTCTCTTCCCAGTCAGTCTCATGCTCATCTATGTACCTACACTGCCAACCCGGGCAGTGCCTGCCACACAGGACACACTCAACACGTAATTGTCAAATAATTGACACCTGGATTTATTGTCTCCTACAGACACCTGGATTTATTGTCTCTCCTACAGTTAACCCTGGATGTCATATGGATGCAATTTGTGTCTCAGATTCTTTAATATGCTCTAGCTATTGTTACTCATTTATTCACCCTAGAAACATATGCTAAGCTTCTATCACGTGCCAGGCTCTGTGCCAAGGGAAGGGGTCTGAGCATGAGTGAAACTCTACTTCTAAGAGGAATAGCTAATCCAACTCATCTTTCCAGTTTTTTGTAAACACTGCAAACTTTTGAACAAGGGTTTACTGTTCTCTGGCCAGTGCTGGGTGAATGGACTCTACCAAATGGGGAAGTGGTTCTTTTTTTTCCCTTTTATTCTCCACCATGCTAAACAGAGATTAAAAATTAGGGCTGCCTGTAAATATGAATTCCAGAGAACCTTGGAGCTTTCCATAAATATACTACTCCAAGGTCATCAAGTGATAGGTTTT